CTTGCACCTAAATTTCCAGGTGCAGCACGCCGAATAAATTAAACATATTTTGCATTCTGCCCACATTTCGTTTTAATGAACCTCCTACATCTATGAAGCGAGCTTGTATTGAAGGAAGAAGATTGCCAGGTGTTTGATTGTGAGAAAACCGCTCCTCAAGACCAACGAAAGAGGGAGCCTATGCATGTTTGCTTGCGGACGGTTCTCTGAGCACTACCCAATTATGTCCAGCGTGGCGATGGGGGCGCAGGTGGTCGCGTTGTCGGCAGCACCGCCTGAGCAGAGTCTATACTTTGACTCAACAGGGAGGAGGGGCGGTGCGATGAACCTTCGCTCCCACTGCTAGGGAACCCTGCGCACACCGCCACGACGGGCATACTCGTAAAGGCAGCACCTGCCAAAGAAAAACGCGAATGGACATGCGTCAAACCTTCGCTTGCACCGCAATATACGTCGAGGCGGCAGTATCGGCAGAAAGCACACGTGCGCCGAACTTGATATGCAGACGCATAAGCACACCAGGGCTGCACAGGTATTCGATGTGCACATTCAGAAACCACTAATCCTAAGTATGCGCTTTCGATAATTTACCTTAATTCTTCTTCTTTTGGCGAAAGCTGCTCTCGGCGGTGGTGAAGCGGAGAACACTGAAGGAACCGCACCAGGCACCAGTCGGGCGAACTTCACGCTAATTCCGAGTGATCTCATTATAGAGGGACTCCGGTAATAGTCCTCGTCCCGAAAGTGGTTAGAGCAGATCATGCTGTGAACCATAGGCACAAAGTTCTTTCTATTTACTGCTGCAACCCACTTAGCGGCAAGCCTCCTCTTCGTTGGGAAGTGGTGGAACACAACATCGTCGCGGCTGCTGTTGTTCGAACAGCCATACGCCGAGCAGAACGACGGCATTTAGCTCGCACAGTAATCTCGAAGCTTCGGTGGGTATACCTGAAGACGTGCTGACCTCTTAAAGAACTCTACAATGGATAAACAGCGCAATTGAGGATCAATTAGCTACGAAAGCCAGTTGTCACAAAGCAGCAGGCGGCGCCGGTTCAGGAACCGAGCATGACGAAGTTCCGGTCAGCCGCGCGAGGGGCGAGCCACAGCCTCCTAGATTTCCTTTGCCTGCCGGATGAGCGCGAAATGCCTGTCATCTATGACGGCGCTACCTACGTAGGAGTAAGGGTTTTTGTATGGAGCCTTTGAGATTGATAATTTTAGCGTTTACAAATTTTGGAGGCTATGTATCGTATCAAAGGGGTTGCTTGTTGGTTTAGCGCAAAACGCTTGTCGTCTATGGCAGCGTCACTTACGTAGGGTTATTTATAATTACGTGTACGTCTTTTTAAAACTTTTTTTACGTTTTTTGTTGCATATAAGCTCCAAAAAGTAAAAACCTATTTAAAGACACTCCTACTTATGTGGCGCTACCACCACAGTTCCGACGATGGCCGCTTCCCAATAGACCGCCGATAATCCGGCAGGCAAGGGAAATTTAGGAGGCTGTGATACGACGAGTCAGAGAATCTGATCGAAAAGCGCCCGAGGGCAGGTGTTATGAAGCTCTATATGAAGCTCTACCTTGCGTGGCAAACTGATGTTTCGGTTCTCTGAGTGGTTTTATAATTTGGTGAAACTTTGTGGGTGGAGAGTACTTGCCTTACAATCGGTGATGTCGTGATTTTTTCTGCACTTCAAGCTGCAGGAGCTCCGCAATACGCTAAAGAAATATTAGTGTTGCTTTGCCCACGCGAGTCGCAGTGAAAGTCGGCATTCTCGACACAATAAGAAACTTTATTAAAGTGAGCTAGAATAGGGTAGTAGGCTTGCTGGGTTCCCCTGCTTGACGCCGGGTATGTCACACGTGTGGTGGCGCCACCAGCGACTTCAATGTAAAGCCCCTAGTTCCAACATCTAGGGGCTTTACTTCAATGTAGGGCACTGCCTAACGGAGGCGTTGGTGCCCAACTGAAATCATGCTTTTTGTGCGCTGTTATCCCACGCACTGGACGGAAACGCGCGCGAATTTAGGCAGTGTAAACGGTGATGCTGATGTCGCTAAGACAATAAAAATAAAGAAAGGAAACTATCGTAGAGCTAGGTGCGTATGCCATTGGCATACATGTGCACGTAGGTAACCATCTAGAACACTGAAACCTAGAACACACCGAATACCGTCAGTACTCGTGCGAATAAAGCTGTAGAAAACATTCTTTCCATAAACTCTGTCGGCGTAACTCGCGCGATTAAACTGCATGCAGAACTCGATGCATGCAAGGGATGCTGTGCAAATATGAGATGCATTTAAATTCTCTTACAAGTGATACGCAGCAATGGCGAACTTTTCAAAGCTTACGTTGCGCGGCTATCAATAGTAAACTGGATTCTTTGCATTTCTCGGGCCCTACTTTCGTCACGCACGTTACAAGCGTGTGAAATTATTAGCGATGCTGACCTTGGCACACACTCGGGAGTTTACCACGAGCTCTTAATGTTACTTGAAAAATTGAATTGCTGCACAAATTTGAAGAAAAAAACAAGAGAGACAGGAAAGAGTGCAGTTTTTCCTGCACTCTTTCCTGTCTCTCTTGTGTTTTTTTCTTCAAATTTGTGCAGCAATTCAATTTTTCAAGTATGAACCAACTAGTCTGCAAAAAAGTATTGCTTCTTAATGTTATACATTTCACAGCATTTAATCATTTTCAGTTGCTCATTTTTTCTGCAGATCTTCATTATCTTGGCTCTGTAATTTGGCTATTTCTGCACTGAATATTCCTATGCAAAGACTGTAAAAATCCACAGATAGGAAAAACAGGAAGTCACTCTCCCCAAGTACTGCGCACAAGTAAATGAAAATTCATTCATCAGATATATATTGGGCACAGTTGCTTACTGGATATTTCTTCTGTAGGAGCAGCGGCTGAACTTTAGATGATTTGCCTTTTTCCGCTTCTCGGTTCTATCAGAATTAATGCCTTTCACAAAACCGCGTAATAATATAAAAGCTGATTACGTCTTTTGAGAGGCCAGGAGCATGTTGTGCGCACCCAACTTCTTCGGAAAACTTTTCTTTCACGATTGTCAATACATCCAAAATGCTGTCCGAGTGCAACTTGTGTCAAGAAAAGCACTCCGTAAACATGTTTTCTAGCTTGCTCACAAAACTGTACAGGTGGCTAGATGGATACAACAGTCCACCCTTGTCACGAAAGGTGGTTAGACGAGTGAGCTGAAAATCTTCTCCTTGAGCTGGCATCGCGAGTAGAGTTATGCAAACATCGCAGTTTGTTTTAATGACACACTTTCGTGCAATATAGCCAGCAACATAAAAGATCAGCCTGGAATCACTTCTAGCAATATGCTGGTCGTGGTCAATAGGTGCTGGCACTATAGGCTCATTCACAGTGCTTGCACTGCCAACTGAATCGTCTTGTGGCAGTGTGCCAGTAGCAGCATTGATCTCCAGCAATGAAGCTAGCTCGCCTTGGTCACAAATCCCCTGGCTAACTGTTTTCACGAGACCATGCAGTGACAGACAAGTAATGATTAGCAAAAACTGAGTTGGCGTGGGGTGGTCGTTGCTGCCGGATGACTGACGTATAATATCAAATAAATTTTCTAATGGGTCTTGACTGGTCTTTGATGTCATTATGTATTTAAATGCTACTTTCCCTGTCAAATAAGAAAGCATTTCTAGCACACTGGTTATAGTCACACGCAGTCCAGTCACGTAGATTATATGCACGTAGTCCCATAGCACATACTTCGGTTGAAAATGAAGGTCACACACGGCAGATGTGTCATCCAGGGCTTTGTACGCTTGATGCAAATTTCTTTCCCATTGCTTCTTCGGGGCTGCATCCTTCGAAACGCCGAACAAAGACGGCTTCTTGCTGCCCTTCACGTGGACGTAACCTGTACAACAGCCTGGCGCAAAACAGTGGTTTTGCCACCACGGAAGCATTTTAACCTCTTTTGAGGGTCACTGCTTGTCAGGCCACATCACTGTTCGCCGAAGAACCTAGGGGATTGAGGATGAAAAGCGCGACGAGTTCTCAAAGTAACAAAACTCGCGCACACCAACCGCCACTCTAAACAGGCAGCAACTGCCCCAGTGCCAACGCTCGCTACATTTCATGCGGTGGTGGCGCCACGCCGCGGAGGCGCGCTGAAGCACGTTTGTGTGACATTGGCGGCGTCACCGCAATGCATGGCGCCGGCAGGCCAGTGAGCCCACTACCCTATTCTAGCTCACTTTAACTTTATGGAGGAAGAAAACTGCTCTATGCCACAGCCTCCTAGATTTCTCTTGCCTGCCAGATTATCGGCCGTCACTTGAGAAGCGGTCATTGTCGGAACTGTAGTGGTAGCGCTACTTAAGTAGGGTTGTCTTCAAATAGGTTTTTACGTTTTTGAAGCTTGTATGCAACGAAAATACTGTAAAAAGTTTTTAAAAGGCGGAAACGTACCTTTAATTAACCCTAAGTAAGTGACACCACTACAAATGACCAATGTTTTGCGCTCAATCAGCAAGCAACCCCTTAAACACAAGGCATAGTCTTTGAAATTAGCAAACGCCAAAGTTTTTTATCTCAAAGGCTGAGTACAAAGACCCTAATACTACGTAGGTGACGCTGCTAAATATGACGGGCGTTTTGCGCTCATTCGGCAGGCAAGAAAAAATATAGGAGGCTATGGTCCACGGAGGAAGGTGCTATGGCAACACCACCTAGAACTTGCATGCTGTTAAAAATTTCACGAGTGCCTGATAAACTATTTCAAGCCAGCGTTTAGTTAAAACGTACTGAAAATATTCCTTAATGCAAATATTCTGTGCACTCCAAAACCGCGAAAATAATAATAATAATGTAGGGAAAATGCCATTTCGGAAAGAAAAAGCGTGGCATTGGGTGAAGCCGACTTTTAGGCCGATCTCACTGCGGTGACGTCACGCAGCCCTGCACAGGCCTTCTCTAGTTTTAGGTGGTGTTGGCTATGGTCGTATAAACATCCGACCCGCAATGGCGGACTTGTTCGCACGGTATCGCGAGTTCGTGAAAGCGAATCCCGCTCTAGCCTCCGAACTCGAGACCGTACTTCGCTGGATCTCTTACTTCACGGCGGGTGAGAATGCCTCTACATCTGTAATAATCCTCAACGGCTGTCACCCCGATCAGACTTTTGCGGCGCAAACTTTGTGACGAGTAGCCCAAGGTGATTGCGGTTCCGCTTTCACTTCGCGACGAGATGCACATCTTTCTCGAGATCACTACACTTTCGTGCTGGCACGCGGACGGGGCTAATGCGACCAACCGTAGCGCGTGGTTTCATCTGCTGTAGCTACTACACTCATGATTGTTGAGACCGGTACGTTTCAACTAGTGAAAGTGCTCTCGTGAAACGGGTTTGTTTTGAAAGCGGCGCCTGTCACTTTATTGACGGGTGTCATTGGGGTGTCATAGCACGTAGAGAACGCGGTGCTTATGCTGCATTCTTCTGTCGCCTAGGCGAGACACGCCAAAAAGAAAGAAAGCGAGAGACCCTGCTCGACTAGACTCTCAGCGCGATTACTTTCCTTCCACGTTCGCGCATTTACTCAGCGCAGTACTTGTTGGTTCTTCTGCTGCCGAGAACAATGACGTTAAAGTCACTTTGGTAAAGCTTTCATTGAGCGGCACTGCTTCTCTCCTGTGTCAGGGATGTGTCTGATGCAGTAACGGAACCCAGTGCACAAAATGCACAATATCCCGCGTCGTTTCCTTAAAATAGTCTCACGTTTACAAGTGTGTTGCTGGCGCTAATGACCTCGCTCGAGATGGGGAATGTCGAGCCTATTCTGCGGCGCTAACGCAGCTTGCATTTCTGCATCCTTCCCTGCTTCATTGCTACGAAGGGATCATCTTCCAAATCAGCGCTGAAAAGCGATAACTATATAAGTTTAGCCCACTGATAGTTAATATGGTGCCCTGAGAGACAGAGGCGTGAGAAAAAGAAAAACCGAAATCTTTGCCACTCATAAAGCTGTTAAATCATCTGTGGTTACAGATATAAGCTGTCGCAGATACAATTAATATATTTTTTTTCAAGAACAGGCTTCTGTGATTAAAATGCTGTCATCCTTTACATTGTAGTCAGTTTTGGCCATCAAAGCACTTACACTTTTGGGAAGTTTATTTAGGAATGCAAAACTCTGCACTGCAAACTCTGCAAATATCGCTGTGGCTGCACATCCAGAAATATCATTCCAAGTTTTTTCAGTTTCAGGATACGATCACCTTCACATGATATCATATGTGCAGCGTGTAGGCCACCATTGGTGGCTAAAACCATTTCTGGAATAAGGTGGGCCAAGTAGATTTGGATTAATTTGCATGTGTGGCACCATGAAAAGAAACAGGCGCAGATGGAAGGAAAATCGCGAAAGAGTACAGACTTTCAGTTTGGTGTAATCTTGTTTGAAAGTTGAGTTGGGAGTGAGCACCATTTTGTCATCTTTCTCACCTTTGTCTTTTTCTTTTTTACTCTGTGATGTGGGAAAAGCATTTCTGACCCAGTCCCATAGAAAAGACGACAATGTAGTGAGTGCTGCTATACATGTTAATAATAATGATAGTAATATCTGGTAGTTCATATACCAAAATCATGACGTGGTAACAAGGCACATTGTGGTAGAAGACCCGAAAAACTCTGAACCTCCTGCGATTCTATAACATGTATTTAAATGTAAGTTATGGGCCTCCAGCATTTTGCTTCCGTTGAAACGTGACCACCACGACTAGGATCGCAGCCTTTGGGTCAGAAGCCAAGCACCGTAATCATTGGGCTGCTGTGAATGGCTGCTGCTCGTATTAATGTATCCAGTGGCAGTCATGCTACGGTGAGTTGTATTCCTGAAACAAGAACGTCCAAGAATACGGCCTGATGACACATTGCCTTAGAACAAAACTTTGCCTGTCACTAGACATGCTTGAAGTGATTTTTCTTTCTTTGCCCTATGATGAAGGTACTACATGTATGGCTCAGATTGGTAGCTAACGTAGAAGCCTACAATTTTTTTGGGATTGGAGTGAGAAGGTTTCTCAAGTGGCAGCTCTCACAAGCCTCTTTCAGCATCTTTCCTCAGCCTTCAATGTTTTGACAATGAGCAGCCTAGGTCTAAACGTTAGCTCCGGGATGAGTGTTTCCTTTTTGAACAACTAATTATCAGTGTAAGTATTAACCATATTTTTAATAATACATGTCATTTTAATTTACTGTGATTACGTGGTTATTGCTCACCCTAGCAATCGTGATTCTTGTATCCACATGATAGCTTCTACATTTGTGAAAGGCCTCATTTTTTAAAGAAAAATAAAAGCTACGTGCATGTTCTGCAATGTATAGGTGAGCTTTGAGCGAGACATGAGGACATTGCTTTTGAACATTCAGTTTAATTTTCTTGCATTTATTACAGGTTGCTCATTGGAGCGAGCAATGATGCTTCTTATCAGCTTAACATTAAGGTGTTCACATTACAACAGATCAGTGAGGCTAAGTAACGTTGAAAGCTGATAGTTGAGAGCTGATAGAAAGTTGGTGGTAGTTCATGTTTACTTATAAAGCAGTGCACAAAGACAAAGCACAGAAGGAAGGAAAGGGACACCTTTCGTTTTTGTGCCTTGTCTCCGTGCCCTGCTTCATAAGTAAACAGTGAAGCTAACCTTTTTCTGCTTCACATTCTCGCAGGTCGCTTTGGCAAGTCAGCTGTGGTTGCTGAGTTCCTTTACTCCTCATCCAGCTTGCTGACCCTACTCAATGACCTCATCCTACGACATGCTGCCAACGTTCCCGTGCATGTGGTGAGTACACAGGCTCTTAGAGTGAACAATCACTTGTCATGCAGATAGTTTGGGCAGCAGTGCTTTCCTTATTTCAACTGTAGGGTGTTTGGTTGCAGAAAAATATTCTTGGAAGTGATTTTCATTACTTGACCATGTCCTTGTGTAAAATGTCCCATAGGAAAAAGTTGGCAGAGTTTCAGATAATCGCTTTGACAGTGACGTGTACTTTACTTTAGCAGCTTTTCTAAAAAACTGCTATTTCTACGATCCCCTGTTTATTTATTGTTCAGATTTCAGTGATGGATGTTACGTTTTGGGGCCACATATTTTAATATGAACACTCAGCATCTTTGCTTGCCTTGTCTGACAGAAAAAAAGCCTGGCACACCACATGTGCATTTATTCTCTCTCATTACAGTTGCTATCCAGTAGTTTTGTATAAGTGAGCTGTCTTATTTGATATACAGGGCCTTAGTTTTAATGCTATGAGGCACAGTGATCATCATTCTTATTCTTGACCACCAACTAAGCATTTATGGTTTCATGTAAGTTATTTTTTCAGTGCCATTTGTTACTTTTACAAACAAACAACTGTTCATGTTTTCGATTTGGTGTTCTCTGAAAGCATGGCTGCTGGTGCCAGTTGTGTTAAGCAACAGCTTTAGATCCAGCACGTCGTTCCCATGCTGGACCCTGAATATTCGTTCCAATGGGTGCCGAGCTATGCGAACTCTGACGAACCTCTTTGGGATGTAATACACTCTCTGCAAGCATTTATCCCGCTATGTTCCATAGGCGTGCGCATGGTTCCTCTTCAGGGGTGTGAAGGTTCATTGCAGTGCTCCCCCTCCCTATCAAGTCAATGTATGGGGCAGGCTGAGGTCCCCACCCCTCTCTCGGGTCATTAAGGGGGGTGGCCACCCCTTGCCCTCCTGTGTGCACGCCTGTGGTGTGATCCATCACCCAGTAACGTAATCACAGCAAATGTGTGGGATATGCAGCGCCAAAGGCACAACCATCAAGAAAACTTTGGATGTGACAAAGCTGCAACGCACCACATTGCCTTCAGAGGAAGAAAGGCGTTTTCCGTATAACACAAAGAGCAATTTATAATGTGGAAAGCACAAAGTTTAGTAGACTCTCGATAATTTAAACTCTGATAATACATACCTTGGAGTAATTCAAACAAATTCGATTTCTTCGTTGGCCCTCTATTCTTTCAATGTATTTAAAAGCCTCTTAATTTAAACTCCACAATTCGGTTAATTCATACTTTGTGCAGGCGCAAACCAGAAAATGCCTGCTGCTTTCCCACTACTATTTAAAAATTTGTCTGCTTATATAATGCTAACAGTCTAAATATGAGAAACAAGCACCTGTGGCCTTCAAGGAAAAATGCTTTGCAAGTAAGCAAATGTTTGAAACGAAGCAAACTCATGGTAAACCGTGATGCTTCTTAACTCGTAAAGAGACCTTTGTGCTGAAGGCACATCTCTATAGCAATGAAGCAGTTGACAATTCACGATTTCTTTAAAATATCTCATCAGCAGTAAATGGCCAATAAACTTGTGGACTTCACACCTCTGCTTTCTGTTCACTGTATGTAGTTAGGGCTTAAAAACTTAAAAAAAATTTAAATGTGACAAAATAAATGCCTATTCATAATGTGTGGTGTCACCTCACTCAGAGTCATCTATCTGAGAACTTCTGATAAGTCAAACTTTTTGATAATTCAAAGTGAATTCAGAGGTCCCTTTGAGTTTGCATTAACGAGAGTCAGCTGTATGCTGCTACATATCAAAGGACTCCATCTGGAATATGTGCTGGCCAAACACCTTTCTATCATAATGGTCAGCAGCACTGACTACTTCCTGGGTATTTCATTGAACAAGCTGGAATTCATTCTTCTTTCTTTTTTTTTTTCATTTGTACGGTATGTTTTTGTCATCTTTTCTGGAAATTCTTGCATCAAAAATAAATGCTTAAAACGAACTTAATTTGTGTATTTCTTAGAGTTAACCTATTCTACTTTTCCATTTGTTTCCCTATTAAAAAGGACACCAATGTGGAAGAATGAGTTTAAATGAATGATTATTCTGTGAAAACTCTATCATCAATAATTTTGCCATCATAGGTTTATTAAAGGAACCCTGAAACGATTTTTGAAGTTTTGTTAGTGTTTAGGCTGGAGCATCATCAAACCATTCGGACTACATATTTAGCGACATGTTTAGTACCAAGGCCGCTACGGACAATTATATCATACTCTCTTTCTCACTCCTGCCGTGCTTCCTCAACTCATGAGACAAGCTGGCATTGCTGGCAATCACAGAGCTTTCACGAGTGCACTCGACGATTTGAGCTTCGCCCAGTTTAGAGTTCAAGAGATTGCATGCCGACGGGTTGCATGCAATCTCGAAGGCCTTCATTCAGTCCGCCTAGCCTCACACCTGCTGTCTGGCAACAGAGACGAAGATTGCGATGTGGCTGACATCTGCTCCAACAGTTATTGCCACCTTAGCAGCCGAGCTTATTTCCGCGCATTCTACAGCCAATCTGATCAGCAGCCTGGTTGACGTCACTCTACCAGATAATGTCGTACTGTGAATGGTCGGTTGAAAACGTGTTTTGCTGAGCCGGAGTAATCTGCAGCGATTCGCAGCTTTAAAGCATTGTAATGAATCACAGAGTTTACGCAGAGAGTTCAAACCAGTCTGTAAATGACCCTTAGGACTTGGTCTACTGGCCCAACGTGTTTGTACAGTCATCAAAACTGTTTGAGGGTCCCATTAATATACAAGAAAAAATCTCGGTGAGAGCTTGATTTCTTAATTTTCTGCCAAAACTTGTATTGGCAATGTGACATGTTTGGATTCATTTTTCTTTTTTCTTTCCATATTTTGATAAGAGTGGCTCAGCAAAATTTTCTGAAAATGGGTATGTACAACTCCCGGGAGTGTACAACTCCCGTAGAAGACAATGCACTTTATTTTTACTAATTTGGAGCTACATAGGCCCAAGTAGACGCTGTGGAAATGCATGTTGTCACAGCGGTTGGTGTGGAAACTTCAAGGTTGCATCATCACTTGCATTTTCTTTTTGCGCACTTTCTTACTAAGTGTCCTCTCTTCACTGGTGTGCTGATTTCGGTATTGTGCGAGAGTAATTTACTAATACGAGAAATATTGTTCTTCATATTTAGTGTTTCTTTACTTATCAATTCATGTGCTTCTGATATCAGTGTGATCAACCTCTCTGCGGAGTGAGTGGATTCGAATTTAAAGTGAATTGTAAACTCGCACGATGTACAGAACCATATCGATGTTATCATTCCCGGTTACTGCGACCTTCAAGGCTGCATTCTCTTCGCTGTGAAAGGAGACCACTTCTTCCTTGATGTATTGCTTCGTAGGATCGAGCTGTTGAACGGCTCCAATCCTGCCTGGCTGTCGTCGAGTACGTCGAAGTGTTTGCCGAGCTGGCTGCCCTGCACCTGCGTGGGGACCTGGCTCGATGGGTGGCGGTCGCCATCGTCCAGACGCTCAAGTGAGAGGCACACTTTATATCAACCTCGTGCTGCCGTGATGGTGTTATTGATTTACATTGTCTCGTTCTTCCTACTGTGACATCTCCCATCATGTTTCGAAGAACACATCCTTGCATCACCATCGCAAGCGATGGGGTCAGTGTTCTTGAAGCTATGCTGCTGGACTTCCTTGTATGCATCTTAGACTCTAAGCTTTCAAATGTTTGTTGAATGTGACACCTGGAATGAGGACTTCAGGAAATTTCATTCACATGTAAAGATCAGTAAAATAAGTGCTTCTGCATAGTTTACCAGCAGGTACCGCACTTTTCTCCTGATTGTTACCACCATATGTCCTTTCCTTTGTGGCCACAAATTTGCACAGACATATGCCATTCTTTAATTTTTGGTTTATCATAACCTCACTTTCTTCCAAAGGACTGTTCAGAGTTGGTGACGTAAGGTTGATACAATAGGCATATTTCCTTGATCTGATAGCCAAAAAATTCCTCATAAACAAGTGGTTCTGTCATTGTCTAGTCTTAACCCTTTGCGGTCTCTTGTCTGACCCCTCCAAATTGCGGAACAAAGCTGCAGCGGTCCGCCATCAGGTACTGCACACTTCCAAAATATCACTGAAGAACTTAGGCATAACATCACTGGCAGAAATAGGCATTTGATGAGTTTTTCTTGCACAGCTGTGTTTCTGTTGCAATGTTAGATAGTGGCAAAATATTGTTGGACCATAACGGCCGGAAAGTGGGAAGGGTTTCAGACAGCACAGATCTAGCGCATCATCAGCCTCTTACTATATGTTAAATGTTGCCTGCAAATTATAGCTATAGTATTGGTATTTTTTTGTGTGTATACAAAAATGAAAAATGTGGGTCAAATAAATAACCACAGGCATCGTAGCCATTGCATATCTGGCGATGTACACTTCTTTTTTACTTAATTTTATCCAGACCTAACCTTCCAGCTTCTGTCTATACATACAAAATTTATGGTGTCAAGATTTTTTTACACGCTGAAATAAGCTTTTAATGGCTACTGCTCTAATCAGCCCTAACAAACATCGGCACATAATAAAGCCAAGAAAGGGATAGGGGACATTAATTGCGCTGTTTTAAGTGTATTCCGGTAATCGACTTATAGATGGGGAAAAAGTGAAGTGGATCAAAAGAGAAACTGCCCAGTGGTAGTGACCGAACCCGCAACCTTCGTTTACATGAGGCAGTAATCAGGTATTTTAGGTACCGGTTCAGACATGCTCGAAGAACAAACATTTCAAGAGCACATGTTTGAAAATAAACCAGAATTATAAAAAAACACTGCATTTTTACACATTTATTTCAAGAAATTCTTTGCTAAATTTGGTTTGCAAGCAAATTAGTTTTGTTAATTTGGCTAATAGCAGCATTTAGACTCCATGGACACCTGCTTGGAATTTAAAATTACTTCATTAGATCAACAACTTCCCAAAATATTATTTCATTACTTTCAGTTTTAACGGCATCTTATTCTGAGAGACCTATGTTAGCATCTCAACATGTTACACCATGCATCGAGCAACTTGTGCGATTGTTGATATTGATAAGAAAGCAGCTTTTCCAATTGGCAGTGGCACTTTTCATGACAAACAGCATCTCACTAAAAGCACAAAAAATGTTTTTTTTTCTTCAACAGAAAATTTAAATTGTCGAATAATCACCATGTTCTTTGCCAACAGGGTCACTGAGGATGTGGCTATAAATCCAGTCTACGCATGCTCATTTGTACAGGCGTATGTGCACGTACCTAGGAGGAAATGCCACTGCCTTCTGAAGTTGTACCTGACTTACCGTATTCACTCGACTGTAACACGACCAGGATTGTAACACGAGGGGTGAATGTTCATTGCGTCCAGGAGAAAAATAAAACAGAAATAAAAGAACTGTGCGCATTATTGCACCTTTAAGACTACTTGAATTTCTGCTTTTATTTGTAATGTGAGAGTGACTTCAGGTAGCAGAAATCTGAAAAATAAAAACTCATTACATTTGAGTAGATATAGTATAGTGCAGTTTGTTCAGCCTTGCAAGGTTCCCCGTAAATACAATCAATTTCGGATACATCGAACTCGAAGATCACAAAATAGTTCGATATTTCAATGATTCTAAATACAAATTATGCCTCTTGAAGACCTAAATTAATGCATTTTAGGCCTCAGAAATCACTGCAAGCGCTGACATAATGATTTGGCCATAGTATTATGAAGGACAAGGTGTGAACTGCAAGTTACTGTACTTTATTTCGCGTGATAATAGTCTGTAAACTTGACATTGCTCCTTGCGCGCCGTCAAGTTTCAGTCATCCTCAATATCACTGAAGCTTTTTAAATAAGCGACATCAGCTCCTTTGCCCACAACAGCGTTAATTGACACAGAACGCCGATGCAAGCCTTGAAACATGGCAAAAGGTTGGTTAGCAGCAGCAGCAAAGGCGTTGGCAGGTTCATAACCACACAGGGTACACTTTTGCGGCACCTGCAATAGAAGCCATGATCTCAGCATTGATGCAGTCAGAAACAGCTACATGGTCATCCTGCACTGATGAAATCGCTCACTCTTTGAGATGGTGCCCGGAAATGCTAAGTTGCAGAATTTACCAAGGCATCGTGCGCAGTTGTGAGCTGTCATGACGCACCTGAAGACATCACCTGGCCCGCAAGGAAAGTTTACGATGGTACTTTACTTGACGTCGCTCCAAGCACTAGACATAATTGTTATCATATGTGCGGGTCAACATTCACTTCAACTCTCGAATGAAGATTTATCAGGAACGAGGTGAGAAGTACACAAGTCTACAAGGCCCAAAAGAAAACGCCGGGATCCCACTGTCAACATGCTAGCGATACCGATGTCACTTGTGGCTTTACAGCTGGCAGCCACGGCTTTCAGCTAGTTTGATGCGAAAAAGCTAGAAGAAGAGTTGCCTCCGTTACATTCGCTTCAAACCGAAATCACTAAAAATGCGTCATGAGGTTCCACATCTCAAAGGCCACGCTTTTCAAACTCGCATGCCATTGAGCGCTAACAAACAAGGGAATGCAAACATTGCAACGAGATCGCCGAGTCACTTCACATTCTCATTTTGGTGTTCTCGGCAATCGGTCTTCTTTAAAAACACTATGCCCGCGCGATGAGACCTGCAGATTGCACATCAACCGAACCGGTGCACTCATAGGCACCATGGAATTAACCAGATCAGCGTGATGGACTGACACCGTCTTTTCGTCACCTGCTCGCCAATATGAATCCGAACTTGTTGGAACGCGGCTGAAAAATTGATCAATATTTGCTCGAAGAAATTGCATTTTCTGGGCCTCGGCGGGGCCCAGCATACGATATAGCTGTGGAGTTCGATATATGGACGCACCGGTCCCATACATTTGCGTGGCAAATTCAAGGGAATTTTAATTTGTTCGATATAGCCAGTAAATAGATGTATCCCAGTTTGATATATCCGGGATCGACTGTACTACCATGCAGGGTTTTGGATAAACTGTTCGATATAGCCAGTAGTTTGATATATCCAGTATCAACTGTACTGCCATCCAGGGTTTAGGCTAGGTCCTGACCATATTCGCCTGGTTTCTTTCACATCCAGGGCATGCCTTCGACTGGTGCTCCTTTTGTACCACAAGCAGGGGCTCCAGTGCAGCCCCAGTGTCGCTCCATTCGACCGGAAACTTGCTCAAGGTGGCCCAGCTGCCACCCAGCCTTGCTACGAACTTCGACACAGTGGACGGCCACTGCGTACCTTAGCAGCAGGTGATCACTTGCTTTCGGATGTAGCTGTGGTGCACGCTTCATGTTTATTTATTTATTTATTTTACCCTCAGGGTACACAGTACATTTCAGAGGGGAAGGGCATGCACAACAATGAAAAAAACAAGGAATACAAAGCAAATGGCATAAAAATGTTGTCACTAATTGGGGTACAAAGATTATTACTCCTAACAACTCACATCATAATAAAGCAAATGATAACAATAATTTTATTTTTATTACATGGTGAAGGCACAAAGCAATACAAATAAACTGTTCAACAAACTTACAGAGGGTAATTAGGTAATCATTGTTTTAAAGACATTCTTAAATTGAATGGGTTTATTGATGCTTGTTATTGATGCAGGCAGGATATTCCATTCATTACAAGTTCTTGGGAGATATGATTGGGCATATGTTACTGTGTTGCAATGGGGGACTGTGACTTTTTGTTGATGATTACGGCAAAGAAGAATGAAGAGAGCAGCTTGGATTAAACGGGAACACATTATGTCATCTCACGTGCAAACTGGCCAAAGAATTCCTTTTACTATTAAGACAGTGATGGAAGTGCTGCTCCGAACTGCTCCAAAAGAGAGATGCTGCACCATGGTGCTCCATTTTCCTCTCAAATAGAGCTGGAAAACTGAAAAAAAGTGAACGTCAATTGCATGATCATCCAGCATGCCTAAATGAAAGAAAAAACTGTCTGTAAACTAGCATATTCATAATCCGACACATACTAACATTGTGGATATATATATATCTGACAAGCAGACTATTTTTGTGAAATATGTGTGAGATTATTTCGGCATAATAATGAATACTAACTGCCCGTGACGACTTTGGTGGGTGACTGATTACATTTACCACTTTATCAACTTTGACCTCATTTATGTCACAAAACTAGCATTTAAAATGCATTGCTCATTCAGCTTATTTTACTTCTGAAATTTTCAAGGCTGGCTGTTTCGGTGAATAATGCAAATAACATACAGTACTCTTACAAATTATAAACTGTTGCTTCGGCAATAGTTACATGCGCAATGGCTGCTTTTGTAAATTGGTGCCCAGCTTTATTGCTTCGATATATTGTTACGAGTGACGGTGTTTATTTACAGATGAGGTGAAATGGCGTTGTGAAATAGCAGCGTACTTCCGAGACAGGCCTAGAACGCTTCCACCCAACCACACAGTTCAGGCGCCGCTCCACTACTCTTCTTCTTCTTCCGCGCCCCGTAGGCTTGCACATCTTCGTTGCATTTCCCCCGGCGGCAGACGAAGCTCGCCGAGCGAGTTAAATAGGCCTATGATGGTACTGTTTGAGGCGGGCTATGTGAACAATTTGCGTAGTGCGCGAACGCCGGTTATTGGCTGTGACTCGAGCGACAACGTAGTTCACGTCACTATATATCTACTACAAGTAATTTCAAATATAGGTAACTCATCTTAATTAGTGATCAGTGACCATTCATCTGCTTTATTTTTTTGTTTCATGTGCTATTTCGAGGGATTATTGTGTGTGCAAAATCTTTGATAAGTATTGATATTTATAAGAAGCTTAGATGACTCCTTGAACTCCAAGAGTCGTCTTGAATATTTTGCCATCTTCTCAAAAAAAAATAATGATAAAGTAATTTCTCCAAACAAGCATTTTTTTCTGCTCCAAAAGCACTTATGGTTGCTCCAAAGCACTATTTTTCCTGCTCAAGAGTCTGCTCTAAAATCAGAATGTCACTTCCATCACTATTAACAGAATGATATGAATATGAGGTCAGAGACCTTTGAATGCATGAGGCATACTGCGTAACAGAAGAGGGCTTGTGGTACAGTAGCACTTCATCTGTGTCCTTTTCAGGAAATGAAACAAGAATTTCTGCAGCACATTTGGATTGGCACTTTTGGATGGCTTTTGTTAGTTTTTATGCACATATAGTGCTCACACGTAGGGACACGACAATTAAAGTTTTCCCTTACCTTCAGTGTGTGTCGCATAGGCATAATTTCAATGAAAACACTTCAGCATCAACATTAACTTTCACACCGACATGTCACAGTTATCTCAAGTAACTGTATGTGCCTGTTGTTGTACTCATAGTTTTAACTAGGTGCTTCACTCAGTAAGCTTTGTACAATGTATTTACTCAATTACAACATGCTTCTAAATGTAACACACATCTGCTTTCCTCACATATTGACACGTGTTTATAGAAAAAAGAACGATGATGGGAATGTTTTGTAGATTCCAGCTAGTGGGTCAGGTGGTTTTCGCGACGACAACGAAGCAGGCGTCTTGCTGTGCAGCTGTTTCTGAACACGCTCTTTTCGCTGCCGTAAGCTGCTATCATCTTTTGTTCGCGTTGCACTGCGACACTGGTGGAGGAGCTGGGCCGCGACGCTGCCCGATGCTTCACACCACTAGTGGGAGCCGTTCATCCAGCCCGGACGTGCCTATTGTAACCCCTGTCCATCGATTCAGTCGTCGGTTACGAGGACTTCCTCTAGACTTAAACCCCTCGCAGAAGCCCTCTACAAGACATCTAGAAATGGCTAATACCGGCCCCCAGCCTGTACTTCTCGGCACCAATCTTCCCGCTCCATCCCAGGTAACGTTTTTTCAATCGCGGGAGCCTGAACGCTTTTGTGGTGGCGCACACGAAGATGTAGAAGACTGGTTAGATCAGTATGACCTTGTTGCGAAGATCAACCAGTGGTTTGCTCAGGAAAAGCTCGGCCGGGCCTACTTCTATCTTGATGACAGCGCTTGTACTTGGTACGAGAACAGAGAAGGCAGCCTGTCCACATGGACCGACTTTCACCAGCAGATGGTTGAAACTTTTGCCAATGTCGACAGACGTGACCCCGCCCACCAACTACTAAAGCTAAGGGTCCAAAAACCCAATAAAACGGTCGCCATGTTCGCCGAAGACATGACACGTTTATTTCGGAGGGCTGACCTGCAGATGACCAAAGATAGGAAGTTGCGCTACCTCATGCGTGGCGTGAAAGAGCAGCTGTTCGCCGGACTTCTGCGCAACCCGCCAAGCACTGTGGAAAACTTCATCAAAGAAGCATCGGCTATCGAGCGGGCACTTCACCAACGCTGCCGACAATATGACCGCTTGTGCAGCAGCCCCCAAATTCAGGCCGCCGCTGTGACGTTTCAGTCATAGCTCCTTGCGTGACATGATTAGAGAGATAGTTCGTGAAGAACTGCAAAGGTTGCGGACTCCGGTAGTGGATACACCCACAACATCTGTCGCTCAAGTCGTTCGCGACGAAATCCGCCAAGCGTTCTTGACAGCTGATCCTGCCCCAGAGCAACGTCCCATTACGTACGCCGTTGCTCTTCGAAGCTCCCTACCTGCTCCGCCCTCAAACTACCCGCCACCTGCAACTGTTCCTTGGTCACCACCACAGGGGGAGACATTGTGGCGCCCACCCATCCAGCCCCCATACGACCAGTCGTCTTCTGGCCTGCCATGGCCTTCGTCCAGTGAGGAGTCGTCTCTGCATCCATAGCTTCGACGAACAGACACCTGGCGCACTGTCGACAGGCGTCCACTTTGTTTCAACTGCGGAGGTGTAGGCCACATAGCCCGCTATTGCTGGCACCGCGCCGATTCCTTTCGCCCTCTCAGGCCCCGGTTTGACAATCGACATGCCAATGACTACGTATCCCACCGTGGCGATGTCGGTTCTCAAGGGCCTCAGGTGCCTCGACCCCGATTCGACCGCCGCCGTAACAATAATGACGAGATTATAACTGATTACGAGCCGGGCTTCCGACATCGACCACGCTCTCCTTCTCCTGCCCAGTCACTGTTGCAGTGCCGCACTTTTGCCGACACCAGAGGAACGAAGTCACCCAGCCCACACCGGGGAAACTGAAGGCGGCGACCTCAGCGGGTAAGGTTTCAGGCTGTCAAGACGAAGAAAAAAAGCCCCCATTACTCCCACCTCAGGACGCTGTACAGATGACAAGACGTAATACTGACGAAACTGTGACCCCAGGCCTTACCGTCCTTGTAAACAGACAGCAAGTCAAAGCTTTAGTCGACACCTGTGCTGGCTTCTCTATTATCAGTGATGACCTTGCCGTACGCCTCAAGAAAGTAAAGACAGCGTGGATAGGACCTCACTTAAGGACGGCAGGCGGCCAATTACTGACGCCTGTCGGAATGTGCACAGCAAGGCTCGACATCGGTGGCTCTACTTTCGTGGCGACGTTCGTCGTTCTCGCTTCATGCTGTAAAGACCTGATTATCGGAATGGATTTCTTGAGTGAACATGGCGCAGTCATCAACGTCCCTGACAGTGTCATTACGTTTCGCAATAACAGCCCTGCTTTAGTCGATTGTTCAGAGCCGAGACATACGTCTCGTTCGGGGCCTTTGCGCCTGACGGACGACGATGTGGTTGTCCCGCCACGATCCTGTACGCTTGTTTCGGTGGCAGGGGATGAGCCGTTTGAAGGCGACGGTATTGCCCACCAAATAAGCTCGTTGATATTTAGCCTCAGTATTTCAGTTGCTCGAGGTCTAGTCACTGTTACTGCATGACGCACAAACTTACTGTTCACTAACTCTAGTGCTGAGCGCCGACACCTCCCGAAGGGTACAGCCGTCGCTTACTTTGACACTACTGCAAAAATCCAAGGCAGTTTATCGGCCCTAGACGAAGCACCTCAAGAAGAATCCATACTTAATCTTGATGTTGGTACTACGTTGTCAAGGGACGAACGAACGAGACTTCTTGAGCTGCTAGCTGAATTCCAGGACTGCTTTTCATCGACATCACGGGTCGGTTGAACGCCGCTAACAAAGCATCGAATAATTGCCCACGACGCAGCAAGGCCTATACACCAGAATACTTATCGTGTGGCTCCAAAGGAACGGTAAGTGATACAGCAACAAGTCGCTAAAATGCTTGAGAAGATAATGTGATTCAGCCATCACAGAGCCCATGGGCATCGCCTGTAGTACTAGTTAAGAAAAAGGACG